GATCTCGGTAGTTTTTCTTTGATATGCCCTTTTTTTCGATTTATTACTTTCATCGGTCGAGGAAGTGAGTCGAGTCAGTTGCGAGTTTTCTCCGAATCTGCTGCTTATGTTGCAAAAGAACGTTGGGCCAGCAGGATAGAGCATAAAGCAGGAACAGCCCTCGATGCGAGTTAGAGGGGTGGCCACCACTCTAGCATACTTTTGAGGGTGCGCACACTCGCCACAGAGCGATCGCCTCGCGCCTCGTCTTCGTTTTCTTCCACTCGCCAGCTCGTAGCCGCGTTAGTCCACCAGTCAAGTAGCAGCCCTATGCGTGTAGCCTACGCACTTCGCGACGAAAGACTCCTGCAGCGTGCGTAATTTTGCGATTTCGGCAACACACTACTCGAGTAAATTAAATAATAATAAACTTTTCAAAACTAGAACGCCGCTATATCTACTGGCATTTTGTTTGTAAAGAACTGTTGAAATATGTAGTTAATGTTTGGAAAACGTGGGTAGTTTTGTGATGTTTGTGTTTAGTGGAAATAGAAAAATGTATACTACGTGAACTGGTAAAAATTATGTTACAAACTGTTCCCATAAGGTATGTTGCATAAAACTTATTTTTTTTTATTTTTTCGCTAACTTCTTAATCTTATAGGCTACTTACTGATTTTACTATATATGTTTATTTATCTGAAACTACGCTAAACTTTTGCTAATTACTAATTACTCGAAAACCGTCTTCAAGGTAAATTCTGCTAAATTTTTACAGAAAAATAGAATATAAAAGATTTCCGATTTTTGAATAATGGTAATTAATTATAACCATTAACTTTTAGATATATGTATGTATAGCCAAAATATAATAATTCTTTCTTAGAGGAAGGATAAAAAAATTCACATTTTTAATATAGTTAGATGTCAGTAGGTATTGCAAAAAATTTGTTGGTGATTCTTATTATTTATCTTCTTTGGATAATTTAAAACTAAAATTTACGAAGAAAATATTGTTCTCATTATAAATAATTAGACAAAATTTTGTCGTTTGAAATTTGTATGATAAGTCCAGTTCAAAGCGCAATATAGCAGTAATTCGTTCAACAGAGTTATTGTTTAGCATCCTATTTAAAAGAATATGATTTTTAATCGTTTAAGTAGGAAGTCTTCTTTTCATCGTTCTAACTAAAAAAATGGTTATAAACAACATTTATTTTGTAGATAGATCCTATTGAACGTATTTATTTGTCTTCTACATACCAATCCTTCCACAATCTTAACTTTAACAATATTTTTTTTTAAAATATTTCGTGCTAGATACATAGAATCATAAATTGATATATGTCAAATTTTACTCTTTGACATTTGAATTTTTTAGCATTGTACTCATAATAAAAATACACACAATTGGAGAAAGTAGACAGAAAAATAATTTCGTGAGCGAACCCTCTTCAACTGATGCAATCTTGTAATTGACTGCAACTTTTACTTCTATAAATGTTTATTTGTAGTACTCGGTTAAATACTTCATGATTTTTCCTTTTTTTTTTTCATATTCATAGCAGATTGTTGAGCAGTACCTTAAAGATTAATGAAAAACATAAATTATCCATATATAGAATCTCTAAGAAAACTTCTAACTGAAATAAATAGCTTTTCAATTTCAAACTATAATTTTCATTGTAATTCATAAAACCTTTGTTATTTATTTTATTATCTATCCCCATTACGTACTTGAATTACTTTTTTTGAAAAATAAAACTTTTCTTGTTGAATCAACAATGATTGAATCTAATTGTTGTTGAAACTTAACAATTTTTGTAGAAATAATAGAACACAGTTTTAAAAATTAATTGATTTGAAAATCATAATCTAATTCTTGAAACTATTGATAGAAATGGCCTCTTGTAGGCACCAATATTTGAAGAAGAAACACTTAATTTGAAATTGAAATTATTAACAAGTTTCGACCTACAAAGCTATCTTCAAATTGAAAACTAATAACACCCTTTTAAAAAGAGTTTTTATCATAGTATGATGCCAGTGGGTGGAAAAACAATAACTTATGTCTACAATAAATTTATTTTTGAAACTATATAATTATTTCTTAAAACATTTCAGTTTCTTTAAATATGAACAGGTGCTAGTCATTAGCGTTATTTAAATAAATTGTAAAATATTAGTCGTAGTAGAATTATATTTTTTTATGTGCTTATCGTGTTATTTCAAATTTCTAAAACTATCCCATTTTTTGTCATTTCGGTTAAAATTTTCAACATAACTATTAAAGAAGGTGTTGACCATCATTTACATCAACACAATTACGCAGTAGGAGATGGGGCAAAGGCAAGGTCATTCACTTACTGCTCCTTTGCGATAGTTAAAGTAGGGCCTCATCCAGCTGAATGGTTACTCACTTCAAAGATAAGACCTAATCCTTACTTACCCCTAAACGCGATCTCCAGTTTAAAGTGATAGCCGTCGGCGCGCTCCTACATCTTATCCCGTTTCTCCTCTTCATCGAAGAGGATTTCGGGCCATTAAAGTCTACCAAACCTAGTCGACCAAAATCGAATTACTTTTAAGATAATCCACTGTTTACTTACTAGGAACTCCCCCCTCAACGCCCTCTCAACCCTCAATACGTGGATTTACGCACCAATCGAACCGCTTCGATTTAATTGAAAAAGTTCTACATTAGTTTCGTAATTCAGAACTTTATTTTTAAATCTAGAAAGGCGAAATTTAATTATTGTTATTAAAACTAGTTCTTCCCCTATTTGTGAGCTCGAAACGGTTTGCTTCGAGTGGTCGAAATTCACTTTTGTAAACGATTTGTTTAATCACATTCTTTGCGTTAAAAATTGTTTGAAAAATTAAATTTAAAAGATTTTTTTGTAAATAGTTATGCAACACGTTGTACACTTTAGCGTAAGAAATTGCTGATCTAACTACGTAATACTACTTAGCCTTGTGCCGACAGCACTCGTAATTTCTTATATATATCGTTAGCAATTTCGTGTACGGCACTTCTTTAGGATCCGGCCGGATACCGGATAATAACGTCGGGTAACCAGCAATATCGGGTAATTCTACCAGAGATGAAACAAATAACAAACACCAGTAGCAATAAGTATAACAAGAAACCTTGTCTTAATTTGTATTATTTATTGATTACTATACAAAATTATTTGTTATTTCGATATAACTCTTTCCCTCAAAAAAGCAACAAGTTTAGGATGTTATTGCAGTATTAAGTCTTATGACAATAAGACAATGAACAACGTGGAAATATGTGTAATGTACATCCATCGAACAAATTCCACTTTAAGGGGCAAACGCGGACATTTTATCGGAGCGGGTGGATTAAAGAGTTAGTCTACACTTAATGGCAGGGCTTTCCAACTAATTCCTTGATTACTACCATTAACGGAAGGGCGGCGAGGTCCTTATTAGAACCAAAAAGCTAAAAGGAGGGGCGTGACAGGGCACAAAGTCAAACTTATCTACCGCCTAATGTAACATGTGTTAAAGTTCACTCATGAAATTATTACGAAATTATTTAAAGTACCTCGATCCAGGTGACATTAAACCACAATCAGCTTTCTTTAGCACGTAATAGAACTCCCACACTATTCAACTCAAGAGTTTTTGAAACAAACACGATCGCTTATAATGACTCCGTATATAATAACAATCCGTTTATTATTATCTACCTGTATACTCCACGCTACTATTAGAAAAACTGTAATTAATGTACGGAATTGCTTATGATGGCATATCATTTGATTTTCATATCTGTGTAAAGCATTTACCTGAAATCTTTAAAATTATCTAATGGTGTATTATCGTATCTACCACCATAATAGAAAATAATAAATATATATATATAAGACAAAGTCGATGTCGAAAAGGAAAAAAGTTCGAGACTGTTCCAGTCTTCAGTTAACTTTATTACAGTTAATGCACTGTCTACGAGTGTTTCTGACAGGTTTTTTTATATTTATATAACTTTAGTCATAGACTCTTCCTCCTTGTAGCGCAAGGTTTCTATTACAGATCAAACCGTTCGATTGGTTTTTCCCAATTGAAAAAGCGGTCTTCAGATGTTTCGCTAGAGACCAGCATGACCACGGTGACCAAGAGCAGCAAGACATACGACACAAACGAAACAAAAGACGAAAAGCGTAGAAAAAAGCTCACCCCCGAAGAGTTGAAAAGGGATAGCGAATCGCCCAAACAACAAGTGGTCCTACCTCAGAAAAAGCGAGTCCTTCCGGCGTCAGCAACAAACAGTCCGGCAAAGAAAAATCAGAAGACAAGTTGCTACAACACCTCACCTCAGGAGGAGGCGGCTGCTGACGAAAATTTAATTAGAGAGACCGAAGCAGCCCTAAAGAATTTGTCGGGCAGCTGGCCGGGCCCCCGGGGCTCCTCCTATACCAAGCACCAAGAGGAATCGCCCGCATTCGAGAATCTTTTCGAGGAAAAGAAATCAAACCCCAAATACTCGCCCTCGTCTAACTGTTCGTCTTCGAGTAGCGGTAGTGAGAGCGGCTGTTCCCTAAAAGACGTCATAACCCTGCGGGAGCCGAGTGGCGATTCAGATAAATCCGGCAAAGGGGATAAGACGACGTCGACGGCTGGCAAACAGTTAAAAATTAAACAAGAAAGCGATCTCGATAACCTGATAAAAATCGAGAACGAGTGCGCCTCGATCCAAGCGCAAACAAAGGCGAAAAGTAAACTGAACGCAGCAACTAAAGGGTCGAATGAGCCGCCGCCGACCCTTTCGTCCCACTACGAACCCCCCGACTTCAACGAATTAGTCGACGACTCGTCTAACGAATTAGAAATTGATATGTCGGAAGCGAGCGGAGACAGAGACGACAGCACCACTAACGATGACAAATTGCACTCATCGCCGAAAGAAAAACGAATCGAACCGTCAAAATCGACAAAATACTCCTTGGAGGAATCCGCACCATCAGTCAATAATAACACCTCCCCGTTCCTTCCCTACATCCGTTCCAATATAACGTCGTCCGCGTCACCTTTCTCGAGCTCTTCCGCGTTCCGACCTCCGAATCTCGAATCTTCGAAAAAACCACCGATCGGGGTCAGCCCTTTGGGTCCGTATCCCGGCGAGGCGACCTTTGTGGGCTACAGTAGCCTACCGTCGTCGTCTTCAGACAACCGCTCGCCCATGTCGTCGCCCGAAAACAAGAAAGTTCCCTTGCCCCAACTCAAGCAAGAGAATCTCGCAAATATCGACACGTCGTCGTCATGTTCAAGCGCGGATAACAAGTCGGTGGCGTCCCCCGAGGACGTGAACAAACAGTATACGATCCTGCAGCCCGCCGGCGCCGGTTCTCGGGCAGCCAGCGCTCTTCAGGAAGCCGCAAGGGACGGGGTTCAGAGCATGTCTGCGGTCTCTAGCAGCAGCAGCAGCAGCAGCAACAGCAGCAGTAGCAGCAACAGTAGCAACTCCTCGAACGAATCCAAAACCTCCGCGGCTGCTCCCTTCGACAGGGTTTCCGGAACTTTATCTCCAAACAGCATCGGCAGAGGTAAGCGAGCATGATGATTTATGTCGTTATTTCTTTTTTTTTGTTTATCGTTTTTGTGCATAGTTTACCATCAATTATTCTACAGTACCCTTGTGGATTAATATCTCATATTTTTTAAAAGTTTTCTCGATTATTACGCAAAATTCATGGATAACAAATACTTCATCATAGAAAGAATCTATTTAGACTTGATTCGATCAGAATATATACTTTAAAAGGCAGAATCCGTAATGAAAAACGTAATTTTGAACTGCTATGAAGGGACCGTACTCGGATTTGGTTAATGAGTTTATTCCAAACTTAGGTTATTATCAAACTAAAGATTGTTTAAAGTGTATAATTGGAGCATGGCTCTGATAGGGTGCGAACCGTTGACAGTCGGCGTGAAAGAGAGGAAAAAGTTAGAAGTGTTACAAGTGATGAAATGGGGAGATATTAGAAGGAGTAGGAGAACAGAATGAGTTATGGAAGGCAATAAGGAAAGAGAGAGATAGGATAGTAGGGTTAGTTAAATACATGATTAGTTACATCAGGACCAAGTAAAGGTATGCATCCAAGAAGTTTGAGGCAGTTTTTGAAGGTATTCAAGGACTCTATTAGTTTATGTAAGTTTTGATCTAGTCCCTGCCAGGGAGCCCTCTATAATTGTTTAAAATGGTATGTTTTCATCGATTTTAAAATGTCTTATCGAATGAGTTCAGTCACATAACAAACTTCTGAATTTAGCCTTTATCGGAGAGCGATACCTTAGTTGTTTTAGGTTTTTTAAGTAGAATTTTGGGTTTTAATTCAATGCCACAGAACCCCATTTGATTTTCTTCTATTTAAGATACGTAGATACTTGCTCAAGAAAAAAATAAATCGGGAATAGGGGATGAGTCGTTTAAGAAAATCTTAATTCCTATCGGAAGTTGGGTTCTTGCGTCGCAAATACCCCAGTAAGCAGACCGTTTTGAAGCAAGTCACGTTGTCGGTGCTGACACTCCGGCTTATAACTTGTATCAAGTAAACCCATAATAACAGTGATGCCAACGCTCGTGTTGGTTGCGTCTTCAAGATGGAATCATTGGCGAACCAGGTGACGGCTACGTGCCCAACAAACTGCTACCCCAATTAAACCTTGCCACCCCTACACCCTACCATACACACATGCACAGTCACAACTTACTTCGTACAAGTTTAAAAAACAATTCTTAGACATAACAAAAATGAAGGAGGCACCCGGGACGAAACTTTATTGAGGTAATTAGGGGTTAATTTTCAAGAAGATAATAATGAAATGGGCTTTCTATTATTATCATTTCGTTAGTAGTGTCTCATATTTTCTATTTATATATAAATATATGGCAAGAAAAACGAAATAATGAAGGCATTGTTTGAAAATAAAGATTTAAATAACATTAACATTATGTAATTAGGAAATAGGCGACGAAGTTGTTGACGTAAATTACTACGAACAGTGTATCCAATGAGATCGAAATCGCAATCTTACAGTTAAGATTTCAGTAATTGACGATTGCCTATGCTCTAGATTTATACAAGGAAATCAAATAGAATCTGTTCGATTGTACAAAATTAAACACTAAAACTCAAACTGAACATGGCACTTTAGGTATCGAAAGTGTTTTATGTGGAATTCCAGATTGTATTGTTTTATCCGCATTTATATTAGATAGTATTCATCAAAGTTAATAAATAAGTAGATACGTAAATTTACTATTTTGTTGACCAAGATTAGCTATTTTTATAAAACACAAAAAAACGAATTCTGTTATATAAAAATATAAATTGTGTGAATAAACTCAATCGCAATATTCAAGACGGCCCATCCAACTGAAACAACTAGGATTCCGTTTATTACTTCTAGACTAAAACCTCCCTGTACAGATGCTTCCC